TCTGCTGCTCTCCTTCCCTGCTTCTAAGTTGGGCTTTGAGGGAGCCTAGTGGATGAGGATGGGCCACAGGGGAGGTGCAGTTTGGGGGCATGTTTGGAGAACACTGAGTGTTTGGGGGATGGGCATTTTGGTGAGTGCTCATCTTGGGCACTGCATGCTTTAAAGGTTCCATCAAGATCCCCTTTTCTGGTGTTGGTGCTGGCCTAGTGGATACACATTGGGCTGCTAACTTCAAAGTCAGCAGTTCAAAACCCCCAGCCCCTTGAGGGATAGAGATGAGGCTCTGTTCCCATAAAGAGTGACAGACTCGGAAACCCAAGGGGTGGTTCTACTCTGTCCTATAGGGTTGCTCAGAACTAAAATAGCTCACTGCCATTGAGTCAATGACGACTCGTAGTGACCCCATAAGGCTGGGTAGAACTGCCCCCTTAGGGTGTCCGAGACTAACTGTTTATGGAAGCAGAAAGCCTGTCTTTCTCTCGACCTGCCGACCCTGTGGATTGCAGCCCCACTCATAACCGCTCCCCCACCAGGGCTCCGACAGGGTGGCTGCAAGTCGGAAGTGACTTGAGGCAACTAGTGTTGTTGGGGGCTGTTGAGCCTATCCGAACACCTGGTGACCCCGTAGGACAGAGTAGAACTGCCCCATAAGGCTTCCTCGGCTCAAGTCTTTCCCAGAACAGGCTGCCTGGATTGCTCCTTCGGAGCCTCTGGGTGAACTCGAATTGCCTGTTGGCGCCACCTTTTTCTGGTGAAAGAGGGGTCCTGATATTTCAATAGCAGGTACTCCTGAAAGGAATGACCACCATTGCCCACAACACATGAAATCATCACTGGTCCTTGCTTTGGGGTGTAGTCATACTGAGTTGTGCCAGAGAAACCCTAACCAATGAAAATCTACCATCTTCCAGTCACATCCACCGGCAACGCCGGGCTCGGCCATGGCTCAGCTGCCAACGGGGCTTGTCTCTTATGACCCCAGCAGGATGACCACACTTTAAAAACATTCTTCTGCCATTAATACATGCTCATTTCAGGCAATTTGGAAAATTCAGCAAAATAAGAAGAGGAAAGAATCATTCCCAGTCCTGCCACCCAGGGAAGGCCACAGTGAACATTGTGGTATCTTTCCTTCCAGTTTTTTTTAGTAACATTTTAAAATTGTAGCAGTCACATCTCAACCCTAAGGGAAGTGTTGGGAATGCAGAAAAAATAAGGAGGGAAAAAAATGGTCACAGGAATGGCCACCCTTCACGTTTAATCTTTTCCTATGTAAGCACTCTTGCCGTGTTTCTCCCGCTCGACATGAAGGACCAGCTGCAAGATTCTAGAGCAGCGGTTCTCAACCTGTGGGCCCAGACCCCTTTGGAGGTCGAACGACCCTTTCACAGGGGTCGCCCAATTCATCACAGTAGCAAAATGACAGTGATGAAGTAGCAACGAAAATAATTTTATGGTTGGGGTTACCACGCATGAGGAACTGTATGAAAGGGTCGAGGCCTTAGGAAGATTGAGAGCCAATTAATTGTTCTAGAGCAGGCGTCCTCAAACTATGGCCGTGCGCTCGGGCCACATGTGGCCCGCCGAGGACCTTTATCCGGCTCGCCGGGTGTTTTTGCCCCGTTTGTTTTTTTACTTCAGAATAAGATATGTGCAGTGTGCATAGGAATTTGTTCA